TTGTTTAAAGGCCCAAAATGCAACATACGAATTTGTTCCAATTTCCGAAATTAGGATGGCCTCCAGGTAAGCAGAAAGGGAAGTTTTCAAAAGAGTGGTTCTCCCTTGCCCACCCCTGTTCTGATGACCAACATAGTTTGGGGGAAAGCCTTCTGCGCAAGCCCTACTGCAAAGAACGTAACCGCTGCAAAACATGCTTTCTGCCAGGTGCGCTACGTGTTTTAGCAGCACCAGCAAAGGAAACATTCCCAGCAGAGGTAGCTATCGCCACTAATTGCATAGCAAGCAGGAAAACGGATGCCTTCTTCCAGACTCAAGTTGGCTGTTACCTTGCAATCACAGCCACAGCAGAAATACCATCTCCTTGAACTTTAATAGCTGCTTTGTTAATTTTAGGGTTTTTATTCCGCATTCCGAGAGCAGCTTGGAAGCAGCTACAATGCACTTCTTATATTGCTTTAAGTCTTTTACTTGCTCTCTTTCCGAATGCAGCTTGGCAGAGATGAGAGCAGGACACCCCCCAGTGTTCCAACGATCAAGTGGCAGACACGCATCTCTAAATATTGGGGTCAAATATGCACTACGTCACCCCTGAATGGCTGAGCCTCCAGCACATGTGCGCAGTGACACGTCTGCCCTGCAAAGCAAACCTTGTGTGTACACAGTGGTAATAAGTAGTTGCCAAAAGCACAGAAGCAGCTGAAGCTCAAACCTAATATATCCAGGCAAAATCAAAAGCAAAAGTCAGCCTTAGCTTTGACTCTGCCCAGATCTATTAGGGCCAGCATGCAGAAAAATCTATTCTTTTCTCTAACACTTACACTAAGTAGAAACTGAAAGATAGGTTTAAAACCTGCCACTAAAACTACAGAAGAAGTTTCAACTAATATTCAACATCCTTCAGACAGATAAGAGTACTAATTCTAAAAGTGGCTGGTGGTAGGGTTGGTCCATTAGAAAACACCCAAAAGCAGCAATGGGATATTACCTTTATTAGGAGCAATGAGAGCAGCAAAAAATAGGCAGCATATTCCAAAAGATGTTTTCCCCCCTGGATTTGTCTTCTGTCCATTTCAAAATAACTACCAGGCCCCACCAGTCCCAAAGCTCACTGTTTATCCATCCTAGGAGACCCTATAGAAAAGGCCTTAGCAGAACAGGGGGAAACAAGACAGGGAAAGAGATTTCTGGTTACAGAAACTCTGCTGCAAGCCATGATGAATCAAGAGGTCATTGTTGCCATTGGCAGGATTTTTTTCTAAACCACAAGCGTCCATTTTCTACCTTGTTGGTTGGGATGGGATGGGATGGGATGGGATGAATCAGATGCACATTCGGCTTCCATAAGCCCATCAAAAGGTTTATGAGTTCAGCCACCAGAATGAAAAAGGGGCAAAGAACGAGGCTGGAGGGACACCTCATCTCCCCACAGCAAAACCCTCAGAGGTGAGAACTGCATCTTGTGCAGCTTTGCTCGATGAAGCTGTTGCAGAGTCCACATTACAAAATATTAGTCAATTGACGAATCCTGCATTAACCACAACTTCATAATATTTTGCTGACCTTTGCCATATAAAACCAGTATTGCAATTTAATATTTTCCCTTTACCTCAGTTTCTGCCATTTCTGCCACAATCTCGTCTTCTCGGAAAACCCTAATGTCAAAATCCTCTGATCCGACGAGCAGCTGAACAGAACGGAATAAAAGCAAAAAAAAAAAAAAAAAAACATTTAATACACGATGCCATATTTTCACCCGCACCTGCTTCTCTGGCAGTTCAAGAAACTCATGTCAAGAAATCTGGCTGTCTACTTGCAGGAGTGACAGAAGATGTGAGCCAGGTCACAAATGATCACAACTCAGTTTCCTGATAAATGAGGGTACAATCCTACAACTGCAGGCGTGTTCCAGCCGGCCCTACCGGCCGAAGCATGCGGAGAGTTGTAGCATGTTTTTCCTGAACAAGAGTGCTCAGGAACTGCACCTTAATGCTCTGAAATGTATCTCAGGCACTGCTCCAAACAAGCTTTGGAAACTGTGAGACCAGCATTAGATCATTCAGACAGAGCAAAGGCAGCCCAAAGTAGCGTGGCTCTGAGACCGAGAAACCACTTTCTGGAGATTCTTCTGGGCTGACCATGAACGGAGAAACATTCAGTTCTAACGAGTGCAAGCAAGTGTTAATTAGCACATGCAAAATGTGGTTTCAGATGATTCCTGAGATGATGAGCTCTGTCCTCCCATGTACAGCATCGCTAGCGGGTCTGTTTGCATTCCTGCCAAGGGATGGGGCTGAACTGGGAAACATCTTGACATGTGCAGGCAGAAGTAACCCCCCCACCCTGCAGGGGTGTCCCCTGCCCCACATACGAAGCACACTCTGTAGATCCTGCACTACTGCCCAGAGGCAGAGGGGACCCTGCTCCCACACACCGTACAGCCAAAGAGAAATTTTCTGCCTGAAACTCATTAGGAAACATAAGCATGCCTTCTTATGAATCGGGACATTTCTTTTGATGAACTTCAAAAAAATATTGAGGAGACAGGCTGAGATACTATTTTTAACAAGCTTCTCAAGCCACCCATCGGACCCAAATACGGGAATGTGCACATTTTCACTTGTATGCAATTTCAGCAGTAAATGCATTCCCAGAAAAAGCCCTGGAGATTAAAGCTCTGGGAAGATGCTGAGGATACATGTAAGAAAAGCTCAGCAGGTCTGGACCAAAGGCCTAGTCTAGCATTCTGCTCCAGTGGCTGGACACAGGCCTCTGCGAAGCCCAGGTGGAGATTTTATGAGGAGATTTAAGGGGCAAGTTTAGACGCCCCCCCCAAAAAAAACCCTGGCTTTGCATTGGACTGTACCAAACAGATGGTCCATTAGTGATCTTCAGTTCATCCGTTGAGCTGTCTGCAGTTTTCAGGAGTCCTTTTGGGGATATTCTGACAATTGAAGCTTGAGCCAAGTTCTGTGTATAGCATGGACATGCCATATAATAAGCGGCTGTAAGTCCAGTTAAATCTAGACCTTCAGTTACCAAGAGCCCCATCTGTAGGTTCAAAGGTTGCCCCGTCAAGGAAAACATGCAAAGGAAGCTCAGGCCAGGAGCCCCATCTGTAGGTTCAAAGGTTGCCCCGTCAAGGAAAACATGCAAAGGAAGCTCAGGCCAATGCCATCTGCCAGAGACATACCTCCTTTTTCCCATCACCATCGAAGTCACACAATGCCAGTGCACGAACATTGTCACCAGTGACCTAGAATTACAATTTCAAAAACAGCAATCAGTTCCTCTACTTAGTTTGTGTCAAACATTTACTGTCTTTCAATTGCAAAAGATGCAAACAGAGCTCATTGACACTGTAACACTAAATATTTTGCACGCAGTAATAAGATGACTATTTCTTTGTTTGCCGTCTTTCTGAAACCAACCAAGCTAGTTTACAAAAATTTCAACAAGTAAAAAGCATTATTTCAGACCCTTAGCTGACAACTAATTTTCAAGGAAACCTTTGCTCTGGACTGATCAAGGGCTAAAGGGGACATAGAACGACACAAGGAGTATAGGCAAAATACTCTTTCAACCCCTTCTCCCCAATGGGAATCCTAAGACAGGCTCATGCACCTCACCTCCTCACTCCAAGATACAAGCAAAAGCCATTTTTAATCACTTATGCACTCTCCTTGCTCAAAAGCAGCATAGGACTTCTCAGGGCACGCCTTTTCGGCCGCTGATTCTCCCAATTGTACAAAAATGCAGATGCTGCAGACTAGGCACTCAGATCTGTAAGGAATGAATTTCTGCTGATTTTCGTGTGATGGGGGGTGGCTTAAAGAGCATTCTGTCAGTGGTATCTTGCTTCAGTAAATGTAGACAAATGCACAATAACACTGGTACTGGGAGCTTGAAGAGAAGTCCTAAAAGGTCAAAACCTTTTTATTCAATCGTTATTTTAAAAATTAGTATTTTAACGTTTTAACAGTTGCTTTTTATTTAATTTATTTTTATTGGTTATATGTTATTATATTGGTATGGATTGTTTTATCATATTCTGATATTAATGACTGCAAGCAGTCCTGAGATGCCATGCATAAGGGACGGGATATAAAAGTTTTAAATAAATAAATAAAAGGAGGATGTGCCCTTGGATCACCAGTTGCTTAGTGTTCTTGTAACCTTTACAGACAATCACTGAGCTGAGGAAATACTAAATAAACATGCTACATTGGATGCATATTTGTACAACTTTGCAAATATTAGTTTAATGTTGTGTTAAATCTAAACCACAGAGCAAAGGAGATGCTTCTTTCCCACTTTTTACTGGAAGGACTAGCATGCAAAGTTCTAATCCAAAAGAACCATCCTCTTTTTCTTAATGATGGCTCACCAAGCACTGAAACAGTGGCAGCTCCTACATGCATCCGTAACTACAGAATCTGGAAGGGCATCACTGTTGCTCTACTAACCCTTTCAATGCTTCAGTGCTTCAATATGCCCTGCGGAATATGCAGAGCCTTTATCTGTCCTCCCCTCTCACAGAAAATAATGGTGAAAGCATCAGAATGAGAGGGATTCACTGAAGGGATAAACTGTATTTCTTGCTGCCACAGGGTTCCTTGGATGTAATCTCCCACCAGCTGGATAAGTGTTTATTCCCTATGCTCACAGAAGCCACAGCAGCCTTCCCCAGCCTGGAGGCCTTCAGAGGTATTTGGACCACACTTCCCAGAATTCCCATCCAGCAGGGCCATTGATGGGGGATTCTGGGTGTTGCAGTCCAAAAGTGTCTGGAGGAAGGCTGAGGAAGGCTGCCCGGCAGCATGCCCAACCGGTGGTTATCATACCTCTGCCCGGAAGCACATACGGCAAGCCAGCTAGACCACTCTCTGTGGGTGTATCTAATGAAGGCCAGATCAGATCAAGGCATGCAGCCACTCTGAAGGGCAGAAGGGGGAGCACCAGCCTCCTCCAGAGACAGCAAAAGCTGTAAGAGAACACACTGCACTGCTCTAGAAGAGGCTGAGTGCATTGGGATTCTCAGTGCATTTCTGCAGTCTTGTCACTTGTTCATCCCTGTGTGGCGTGGCCTTTCCCCTTCCTCTGAAGAAAAAGCCCTGAGCAGGAAAGCTGCCTTTCCCAAACTCCAAAAGTTAGGCTCCTTCAGCAGAGCACCCCAAGGCAAACAGGCAAGAGCTTTTGTAGCAACCCACTCCTCTGTCAGACTTGCTCAGTCACTAAATCCTCAAGTAGCCCTGGGCAAGTTGCCTCGCCCTTGATACTCCATCTGTAAAACTATAATAATGAATTTCCTCATGGGACTGCTGTGAAAACAAACAAAGGATAAATAGGTTTAAGCATCTCAAGTGTCCTACACAAGGGCAATCTCACCGTCCAAAAAAGGTCTTTTCCTTCATGATTAAAGCCTTGCAAGGAACAGTTTCCACCTATAATTGCAAGAGGTGAGGAAATGTCTCCTAATGTTCCAAGTACTATCGTGTTTGCTCCATCAGGAACCTACAAAAAGACAATAGAGAAATCTTGTAATGGAGTCTACCAGTAATTGATACACAGAAAAAAAGCCATATTAGGAAAAGGCAAATCAATTATTATGCAGACAAGAAATACTACTATTTATCCAAAATGGATAAATCTCCCATAAGAATCAGAAGATTCCAACTGAGCACAGCTAAACATTGTTGTCGTTGTCGCAAAGTCATTGTCGCGAAGTTGTGTTCGACCCATCACGACCCCATGGACAACATTCCTCCAGGCCTTCCTGTCCTCCACCATCCCCAAGTCCACTCAAGCTCACACCCACTGCCCCAGTGACTCCGTCCAGCCACCTCATCCTCTGCTGTTCCCTTCTTCTTTTGCCATCTATTGTTCCCAGCATTAGGCTCTTCTCCAGGGAGTCCTTCCTTCTCATTAGGTGGCCAAAGTATTTGAGTTTCTTCTTCAGGATCTGGCCTTCTCAAGAGCAGTCAGGGTCGATCTCCTCTAGGACTGACTGGTTTGATCACCTTGCGGTCCAAGGGACTCGCAGGAGTCTCCTCCAGCACCACAACTCAAAGGCCTCAATCCTTTGGCGCTCAGCCTTCCTTATGTCCAGCTTTCACAGCCATACATTGCAACTGGGAAAACCACAGCCTTGACTATATGCACTTTTGTCGGAAGAGTGATGTCTCTGCTTTTTAGGATGCTGTCTAGATTTGCCATAGCTTTCCTCCCCAGGAGCAAATGTCTTTTAATTTCTTGGCTGCGGTGATCTTGGAGCCCAGGAAGATAAAATCTGTCACTACCTCCATTTCTTCCCCATCTATTTGCCAAGAAGTGAGAGGACCAGATGCCACGATCTTAGTTTTCTTAATGTTGAGTTTCAAGCCAACTTTTGCACTCTCCTCCTTCACCCGCATCAAGAGTCCCTTTAGTTCCTCTTCACTTTCTGCCATTAGAATGGTATCATTTGCATATCTGAGGTTGTTGGTATTTCTCCCAGCAATCTTAATTCCAACTGGTGATTCATCTAGCCCCGCCTTTCTCATGATGTGCTCTGCATATAAGTTAAATAGGCAGGGCGACAGTATACAGCCTTGCTGAACTCCTTTCTCAGTTTTGAACCAATCAGTGGTTCCGTGTCCAGTTCTCACTGTTGCTTCTTGACCCGCATACAGGTTTCTCAAGAGACAAATAAGGTGGTCTGGTGCTCCCATCTCTTTAAGAACTTGCCACAATTTGTTGTGATCCACACAATCAAAGGCTTTAGCATAGTCAATGAAGTAGATGTTTTTCTGGAACTCCCTAGCTTTCTCCATGATCCAGCGTATGTTGGCAATTTGATCTCTAGTTCCTCTCCCTCTTCGAAATCCTGCCTGTACACATACTGCTGGAGCCTAGCTTGTAGGATTTTGAGCATAACTTTGCTAGTGTGTGAAATGAGTGCAATGGTGCGGTAGTTTGAACTTTCTTTGGCATTGCCCTTCTTTGGGATGGGAATGTAAACTGACCTTTTCCAATCCTGTGGCCACTGTTGAGTTTTCCAAATTTGCTGGCATATTGAGTGTAGCACTTTTACTGCATCGTCTTTTTAGATTTTGAATAGCTCAGCTGGAATACTGTCACCTCCACTAGCTTTGTTGTTGCTCAGACTTCCTAAGGCCCATCTGACTTCACATTCCAGGATGTCTGGCTCGAAGTCAGTGACCACCCCATCGTGGTTATCAGGGACATTAAGCTCTTTCTTGTATAGTTCTTCTGTGTGATCTTGCCACCTCTTCTTAATCTCTTCTGCCTCTGTTAGGTCCCTGCCATTTTGGTCCTTTATCACGCCCATGTTTGCATGAAACGTTCCCTTCATATCTCCAAGTTTCTTGAAGAGATCTCTGGTCCTCCCTATTCTGGTGTTTTCTTCTATTTCTTTGCACTGTTCATTTAAGAAGGCATTCTTATCTCTTCTAGCTATTCTCTGAAATTCTGCATTCAGCTAAACATAGGTTGTATTTAACTGCATATGTGAAAACCTGAAGTTTTGGTTACTGTCAAATATCTAAAATCTACAACTTTCAGACATTAAATATTGTTTCCCCTAACAGGGAAGTGCTGAAGCACTTAACCCAGGAGAAGCTGCAACACTGATCCTTGGTCCTTGCTCCAGGAAAACTGTGAGGCAACTGCCCATGGCCAACTGAGTGGCACTTCAGTATGAGATATGCAGCCAGAAAGCCTGACCTTTGACCACAGCAAGTCAAGGTACTCAGGTTCCCTCTGCAGGTCTAGGCTTGCAATATTAATAATTTACACAGGGTATTTGATGGTGCTGCTAAATGTTACTTTTAGACGGGAGCTGGGAGTGTTATGCTGCACCTGTATCAGTGTTGATATAATGCACGGGCTTAAATTCCTGAGTACGGTGTGGACTGGTCTACATACAAGAGATTTTAGTTAAGTTCCTTCCACTTGCATCAACTTCTCAGTAACGTTCCACATGGCTAAAGGTGAGCAAAAACTTGTCCACATGAGCATTGCTAACAAATAACAGGGCTCTCCAAGCATAGAAATATATCATAGTGTAGCCCCTAATTCCAATTTACCAAAAACTGTAGAATTCGATCACTGTGTAATATCCACTGAACAAGCAGTGGCCCAAAGGACTCCATCTTGTAAGATGATTTCAGGAGGAGACTTCATGATCTTCCAGTGTTGCAGAAGATGCCTTGGAAGCTTGTCAGTGATTTCTCAGTAAGATCAATCAGTAATGGCGGACTGCTGCCCTCAAATCAGTCTCTGTGCTGCTACCAGGTTCTTCTGCAATACGCAACTGCAGGGAGTTTGTTGGGCATATTCTGGCCAGGGTGTGTCCACATTTCAAACAGAGCACCTGGCCAGTGTCTGCCTGAGCTGAGTGCCTTAAAGCATGCCTTTGAACTCCAAGCAACAAGTTCGGAGTTCCTCCATGTAGGAGTCAAGCAGAAAAGTGTTCCCCAAAGGCAGGGTAGTTTGGAAAACACCCGTGTGTTCCAACTCCAGTCTGTGAATAAGGTAAAGTAAATAACAAGTAATGAGTGATCAGGAGATAAAAAACAAGCAAACAGGCCTTACCCCAGCATAGAATAAGTCAGCATTGTTGTGTACGTCATATGCCAACAGACTGGTCTGAGTGCCAACAAGGAGAACATCGCCCCCCAGGTCAGGGTTCAGCACCCCTGCAGTTAAGCAGCTGACTGCCTCGTTGATGTTCAGAAGGGAAATATCCGCATCCTGGGCACTAAGCATCAAACGGTTCGTATTAACCTGCTGGCCACGTGCATGGGGATTATGGATAAAAACCTGTAAACAGAAAATAAACTTGGTGAGGAAGTTCTCCAGGGGGATATTAGTGCTATCTGTTTTGTAGAAAAGGACAAGAAAGAGTCTTTTTTATTATAATTACATTTCTGTACTGCCTGTCGCCAAAGTTCTCTGTACGGTTCACGATATTTAAGTCACCCATCCAGATTTCAACCAGGCCCAACCCTGCTTAGCTTCCACGGGTTAGGCAGGATCAGGCACTCCAGGGGATAAGGGTTGCAACACTTTAAAGATGAACATGTTTATTCATTCTGGTATATTTATTTATTTAAAGTTTTTATATGCCGTCCCCATTGCTACACAGCCTCGGGACGGCTCATAACACAAATAAATAAAACAAATACAATTACAATTACAACTGGTACAAGCTTTTGTGGGTGCTGTCCGCTCCATCAGATGCATGAAGAGTCAGCCTCAAAGGGGCCAATGTACATACGCACGTCAGGTCAGAAGATGTGTAATGTCTTGCATCGCCACGCACCCCTGCATGTAAATATAGGGGGCTAACTTGAAGCTGACACTTCTTGCACTGGACGAAGTGGACTGTGTCCACATACCTTAAACCAGAATCGATGTGTTCATTTAAGAGGTCACAACAGTCTTTCTCGCCCTGACTCTGTGTTGCTTTTGTGAACATGGTTAAGAGCAGCATTTGTGAACCCTAAAATTTGCCTCAGCGTGAGAAACACAAAGCCTTATGGGAGAGCCAGTCTCATTTGGGCTCTACTTTCTCCTGCCACACACCTGTTTTCCAGTGTGATACAGAGCCAACTACAGGAGGAAGCCCCTCAAAGCGCATAGGTGAGAACGTGGTTCCACATATTAGGACCAAACAAAAAGCCCATCTATCCCAGCATTCTGTTCTCACAGTGGGAAACCAGCTGCCCATGGGAAAGTCACAAGAAGACACAAGTGCACAAACACCCTCCCACCCATTCCTCAGCAGCTGGCACACAAAGGATGCTGCCTCTGATACTGGAAGTAGCACAGACCCCTCAAGTTTAGTAGCCACTGAGATCTCCTCTGTCTAATCCCCTTTTAAAGCTATCCCGATTGGAAGCCATCATCACATCTTGTTCGTGTGAATACTTTAACTGTCAGGACCAATAAGCAGGTGACAGTAAGAGGGAATGGAGGAAACATCCCAGGAATGGCAGTAACTTTTGGAGAAGGAGTCAGTAGACCGCTAGAATGCCCAACCTCGATGGGGTGAAACAGGAAAGCCTTTATGAGTGAAGCCCTACTCGGAGAGCACTGGAGCCTCCATTTCCCATAGCAATGTCCCCTGTCTGTCTCTGCAAGTTCCTCTGGGCCTCACTGTATGAGCATTGTGACACTGCATCTATAAGCACCGCGGCAAATAATTCAGAAACACCCTGAACACTGTTCAATAGCTCCACCTTTCTGAAAAGCAACCAGACTGACGTTCTTGGGCTGGATGAGTCTGCATACATGCCTTTTCAGGCATGAACGCATGAAAAGCCCTGCTTACCCAGTCCAGTTTCATGTTTCCAACAGTGGCCAGCCTTTCTGAGATTATTTTTTTCCTGTGGACAAAGAAATGCACTTGGCCCACATTTAGAGGCCCCGTAGCCTTACGCGTACAAATATTCCAACCACTTCTACTTAATGGGAGCAATCCCTATTTTAAGGTACCAGGCAGGTCCTCATAAATCACCACCTCTATTTTGTCTCTAATTTTACCTCTTAGAAATGGCTTGTTAAAATGCAGGGAATGCAAGGTATTAGTTTGTCCACCAATACTCTGCTCCTTCCCTCGCACCTTTAAAAAGTAAACAGGACTGGTCAGTAACTCATGCTTTGCACGTAAACATGAAGGGAACTTGCAGTGCATGGCCTAACATTTCACACATTGCAACCACAGTCTGAAGTATCAGATACAAGACTGATGGGTGCTTATGCTTTTCTAATGTATTTTTAACCTTAAGTACAAAGTCCTTTAATAAAGGAATTAGGGACTAATGATGGCTACTAATCCTGATCTGTACATGCTACTTCTGGTACCAAAGGCAATACACTTTGTGTACACCACTTGCTGGGGAACATGGGCAGGAGGGTTTTTGTTCTCATGCCCTACCTGTGTGGTTCCCAGAGGAAGCTGATAGGCCAGTGTGTGAACAGAATGAGGGAGAAAGTCGACCCTTGGTCTGATTGGTTATGTTCTGTGATACCCATGTTGGAAAAGCTATTCCAAAGTAAAGAAGGCAACATAAAGCAAAGTCAACCATGTGAACACTCAACAGGGCCCCCAAGGTAGGCCTGGGGACCGAAAGAGCATCCCAGCTTGTTATAGCATGTGTCCAGGGCTGAATGTACCAGTTTGTAGGTTTCCTGTGGGCACCTGACTGGTTATGGTATAAACAGAATGCTCTGCTAGATGGACCTTTGCTTTGATCCACTGTGGCTCTTCTAATGTTCTTACTTGGGCTCAAATTCCTCCCAGGATTTAAACCGCCTCGCAGGGCTGTTGTGAAAATATTTTTTTGTGGTGGTGGTAGGAGAAAGCATCCCATGTGGGCTTCCTTGAGCTTCTTGGAGGAAAAGCAGAATATCGAGGAAATAGCAACATCAATACATTCCTATTCTTTCTTTCTCTTGCATCGAGACATTCCCTCTTGCAAGGAATCCAAGGGGGCTTACATAACAATACCCCCCTCCTCTCCATTTTGTCCTCACAACAACCCTTCAAGGGAGACTAAGCTGAGAGGCAGGGGCTGGTCTGAAGATGCAGGGTGAGCTTCACATCCAAGTGGGGGACTGGAACTGGGGCCTCCCAAGTCCCAGTGCAACCACTCCGACCACTACATCACATTGGGGCATACTGGAAATTGCAGGCCTTTTTTCTGCCCAAACTTTTGCTCCCCAGGGCACTTTCGACTTTTGAATGGGTGATATTTACATTCCACCTACACGTGCCCCGTTGCAGACCTAAGCTTATGGGGAACTATTCCTACTGACAGCAATACATTTCCTTACACACACAACTATACAGGCTTGATTTATTTCGCGAGGATTTACGGAAGAGGGCCTAGCCAAGCGCCACCTTCTGTTTTTCTCCCCTCTGCTTTGCTCGGCCCGCCTGATTTTTGCTGCAACACTTCCAAAGGCGCCAGAAAGCGCAGCATCGCCCCTCGGAGGGGCTTTGCCGCTCCTGCTCAGCTCCCCGGGAGGGCAGCGGGGGCCAAGCCAGGAGCGGCCTGCGGGGCCAGGCCACCCTCTAGGCCCCGGGCTCGGCAAGCCGGGCAGGGCAGGGCAGGGCCGGCGGAGCCCGTCCAGCAGGGGCCGGCCCGGCAGGCGCTGCCCGGGGCGGAGGCGCAGGCCGCGGCCCGCATCCCTCGGCCGCCTGGCTTCCCGCGTACCTTGCTGGCCTGCGTGGCCGCCGCCAGGCAGGGGTGGGCGCCGTCGAACCGGCCCAGCGCCACCATGCGCGGCAGGATCCTGTGCCGGAGCTTGAGGGTGAAGACGGGCACCAGCATGGCGGGGCGCGGGCCAGGGCGGCTCCCCGGCGGCGCTCCCCGAGACGGGCCTCCCGCGCCGGCGCCGGAGCGTCATGGCCGCCGCCGGGCGTCGCCGTGGCAACGGGGCCGGGCGTCGCCGTGGCAACGGCGCAGGTGCGGGCCGGCGCCCACCTGGCGGCGGGATGCAGGACGGAGGATGGATGAGGCGCGGGGGGCGCCCCGCCCCGCCCCTGCCCGGATGTCCATCCCATCCCTCGCAGGCCAAGATCCCCAGGCCCGCTGAACATTTATGGATTGACTGATTAGATTTACACCCCGCTTTTTTAGAACAAACTCAAAGCAGCCTGCATCCATCTCCAGCTGCTCTCCATCTTCTCCCTGCAACCACAGCCCTGCGAGGCAGGCTGGGCTGAGCACCTGCAGCTGACCCCAAGTCAAGCAGGGGGCTCCGTGGCTGAGTGGTGTGGGAAGTGGGAAGTCTGCATCTTTTAAAATATGAGTGAAGGATTGTTCTTTCTTAAGTGCAGAATCTGTATCTTTTAGAATGAATAAAGGCCTGTTCTCATTGTCTCATCCTTGCCCCAAGATTTAAGAAACATTTTGGCATCAAGTAAGAATTTTCAAGGCCACTTTGGCCTGTTGACCTCTTAGAAGATACTGCGCATGCGAAATAAGTTTATGAATAGTAAATGACACACCTCTCATAGATAATAGGCTCATTAGCATGAACATGGGATGTATGAGCGGGAGGGGGGAACATATGAAGGAGCAGTATGATATAGGTGGATGGGGAAGATTGTGACTTCTTAGTAACCAGCCAATGGCGAAGCGGGAATAGTGTTGAGCATCGGGGAAAGGAATGTATAAAATGTCCTGCAAACAGTAAAAGATTGCTCTTTGTTTCTCAGACTACTGAGGCATTGAGCCAGCCTTTGCAAATGCTTTTTGTATGGAATAAACTGCTTGTACCCACTCGAATCCTGTCTCAAGTAGTTTTAAATCTCACAGTGGCGACTAGAACCCGGGTCTCCCGAGTCCCCTGCTTTGAACCATTGCACTGCACTAAGCCACCTCTGAGCTGTACTCATCAGCATGAATCCCAAGGCAGTGTGAGCAGGCAAGGTCGAAGTGATGAGTTATTTTAATGGCCGGCCTGTTTTCTGCCAGGTGTTCCACAAATCCTTTTCCTTCACAGAGGCAGTGTTAGGGGAAGACTAACAAGGACTTCCATCTGAGACCCAAAGCTGACCAGGAGCACTTGCTGATCTCCATCACCTATCGTTCTCCTGGATTAGCTGATTTTTCTTCTCCACCGCCTTGTCCTCCTGCTGCCTCCACCATGCATGAAGCCCCCCCACTCTTAATTGTGATTTTATCCTGTTTATTTATTACAATATCTTAATTGTATCTTTTTATTCACTGTTAATATTAGTATTTTTATTGTAACAACAGCCCAGAGAGCACAATGCTAAAGAGCAGCTTTCAGCTAAATCCAATAAA